TGGTCAGATGCCCAGGATCTGCCTCCAGCCAGGGCCTCAGAGCCACTGGAGAGAGTGGACAGACAGCTCTGCAGCTCACTCTACCCAGGCCTGGTCTGGGGGAGCTGAAGGGCACAGAGGGAGGGGCGGACAGTGGGGGGTGCAGTGCCTGCTTGCTGCCTCCTGCTGCTCTGGCCACACACAGTCACCTGGCGACCACTGCATGCTATTCTGTTCAGAGCTGAAGTCAGAAGGTTGGGCCCGTTTGGGATCTGAGCCGTGGATGAGAAAATAGGACAGAAAGCAGTATCTGGTCAGCACTTTACAGTTTGCAAAGCACTTTCCCTCCGGCTAGATCTTTTGATCCTTAAAACCACACAGTGCAGGGGGCCCGGCAGGCATGATCCTCCCCTTTATAGAGGAAACAGCGGCTCGGAGAGATGTGCCAAGCCTGTGTGGCTGCGTCTGGACTCAAATCGAAGAACAGCTGGCTCTAGGGCCAGCGCTCCTGCCACGGGGCCAGAGTTGCTTGGAAAATGGTAGCCCTGGACCAAGACGCAGGCTACCACCTTGCCCTGTCGTGTGAGACAAGTCACTTAACTGCTCTGGGCTTGAGTCAGCAGCTCTGACAAACACAGAGGTTGGCCTAGAAAACCTGGAAGATCCCTTTCAACCGGACCAACTGGCTGTCTTCATGCTGGGGGAACTCCAGGCCACCAGACGTGCCAGCGTTAACTCGGGAGGCTTAGTTACAGCCCCGGACCCTCGACTCCACCCAGAGCCCCAGGGAAATACATCTGGCCAGAGAGCCCTTTACTCTTGCCTGGAAGCCACGATGACCCATCTGGGAAGAAAAGAGTCTGATTTAGAGAGGGAGAAATCCACAGACATCACTGGTCACCAGCAGGGCGGCGCCACTCCCAGCAGTTCCCTGCCCCTGGGCCCAATTGTCCTCCCAGGCTCTACACCTGGGCCCTTCTTCTGTGGTATCTATAGAAGATTTTAGAATGAACAGATCTCCCTTCTCCCTCTGGTTTGCTGTGTGTCCAGGGACTGACTGTACCAAAGTGGGCACTCGGCAGGCAGGAGCGGCTGTGTGTGTGGCATGAATCAGAAACAGAATTATTCATCTCTTCGTGGCTTTTATGTCCACCGGGCTCTGCTGAGTGGGGTCATCACTTCGCAGAGGGACCCGTTCTTCTCCTCCCAGGCATCATTTTTCCCTTGGAACGCTAACTTTGGTTTCTGCATTTTGTAATCACAGAAGACTCAAAAGAACTTTTTTTTTTAAGAAAAGAAAAAAAAAAAAAAAAAGCCCAGCCGGCATGGCTCAGCGGTTGAGCATTAGCCCATGAAACTCCCAGGAGGTCATGGTTCCATTCCCAGCCAGGGCACATGCCCAGGTTTTGGGCTTGACACCCAGCGTGGGGCGTGCAGGAGGCAGCCGATCAAGGATCCTCTCTCATCATTGATGTTTCCATCTCTCTCTCTCTCTCCCCCCCTTCCTCTCTGAAATCAATAAAAATGTATTTTAAAAAAACAAACAAAAAGAACGGTCCTGTCCTAGAGGTCACCCATGTATGTCAGGCTCTTGGCTGGGTGGAAGGACAGAGGGAGGCTCCAGTGAACACTAAACTCGGGGGAACACGCCTGACTTTGGGGGCCTGGCTGTATTCCCAGCTCTGCGGAGCAGGAGGCTGGGCTCCCCAGGGTTTGCACCTTGACCTAGAGATCACTTTCTTTAGTTCCTTCTGTTTCCTTTGATTTTTTTGCTCAATGTGCAGATGAAGGAGAGGGGCCTAAGGAACACGGTATCTTCAGCTGCCATGTAGATTATTCTAGAATTAGGCTGCTGCTGTCAATTTTATTTGATGGCCCCAGTTGGATCTCTAAGTCATACCTGTAATTTGGTGCACTCCGTGTACTACGGTCTGCCTGAGAAATCCTATAATTATGTTTTAAGTGACAAAGTTTTACGGAATAGCTAAATAAATGCAGCTAAATTTAGAGCACTGCCTCTTTACCGTGCAATGTGGCGGGAGGTAGAGATATGAGCAGTGGCTGGTAGAAGGAGAATATTGTTACTATCCAAAAGGTGGCAGCAGAAATTACCTCAATTAACTTAACAAGAAGCCCGTCCTCTCACCAGCCCGCCCGGGAGCCCTGGCACACACCCCGTCCCTCTTCTGCCAGAATTCCGGCTCCCGCGCCACGCTGTCCCCAGCCCCATCTGCTGCTCCGACTGAGCTGGAGCCTGTGTCGCAGCCCCGCCCTGCCTCCTCCCCAGAGCCTGCAGCTCCGCTTCCCCTTCCCCAGGAGCCAGGTCAGGAGTCCACCCCCGGAGGAACCTCAGCACAGATCCCTGCTTGACAGGGGTGCCCGGGAGAAAAGCAAGGCCTGTCTGCCCTGTACCAAGTCCATGGAAGTGAGGGAGGTTGCCTACCAGCCCCTGAGTGAGACCTGGGGAGGGACTCGATACATCCCTCACCTCTGCTCATCCATGCTCTTTATTTCTGAGGATCTCCTCTGTGCTGGGTGTTTGTGAATGGCTTAGAGCAAGCATGTCAAACTCAAAGGCTAACACGGGCCAAATAAACGAGGCATGCAGACCTTGGGTTTGACATGCTTGACTTAGACTAGGTTCACTAACTATTTGTTTGGCCCTAGCTATGTGCTGCATACCCTTCTAGGTTCTGGGTTTACAGCAGTGAGCAAAGCAAAAGTCCCTGCTGCATGTAGCTAACATTCCAGGGTGGGTAAGACGATCAACAAGATAAATTGGGGGAAAGAGGTGCTTGGTTAGATGGTAAGGCGTGCGAAGGAGAAAGACAGGCAGCATGAAGGGGAGAGGAGCGACAGAGTGGCGATGCTGCTTGTTGAAATGGGGACAGGAGAAGATACAGGGCTCAGGGGAGCAAGGGTGCAGTGGGATTGGAAATTCAGTGTTGCAGACATTGACTTGAAGATGGGTGTGTGTGTGGGGGCGTAATCCAAGTATCCTGAGGCATTTGCTTATCTCACTCTGAAGTTCATGAGAGAGACAGGGCTGGAGCGAGAAATCGGGAAGTCGTTAATGAATGGATGGTAACTGATGCCCCGCCACGCTGAGATCACTGGGGGGAGATCTGTCAGTCCGCATGGTGCCCCCATCTGGCGGAAGCTCACCCAGCCTCAGATTAAGCCCCGGGTAATATGCTGCCTTTTGAAAACAAACAAACACACAAACACAAACAAACAAACGCTTCAGTTCCTGATGACTCAAGTGGCATGTGTCTGGCCCTGATTGTGCAGACAGTTTCACAGGAAGTTGCCAACACAATGAACCATCTGAAGCCTCTAATGAAGCAATTATAGCATGTGGAACGAACAATCAATCAGCTGTAAACTCGGTGGTGAGGATTTACAGGCTCACGGTGGTTGCATCCAAGAGGAACTTACTGGAGATAACGTGGTTGCCTCTGCCCCTCCCACAACACACAGGAAGGAAAACATTCCCGTAAAAAGACTCCCTCCACCTACCAATCGGTGCTGCTCTCGAAAGTGTCCTGGGATCACCAAGAAAATCGTTCACATCTTGGAAAGTTGTGGTTAATAAAGACCTTCATCTCCCCAGGTAATACATTTCCCATTTGATTCGTGAATCTGCAATAGCCGTGCTGAGGGAGACATCATTGCTATGGCTATGATTATAGTATTATTTTTTCCCCTTGCTCCGTGGCGGTTCTGAACATGGATTACCTCTAATTCTTATAATCAGTCTGTGGAATAGGGTTTATTAGGCTTAATTTGTCATGAGGAAAGAGAGGCTCGAAGCTGAAATCATCTGTCCTGTGTCTCAGCGCTCCGAGGTGGCACAGCTGGGTCCACCCGGGTCTGTCTGACACCAGCCGCCACTTCCCCGGCCAGCACCTCCCATCGGGTCTGAACACCGTGAGTGGCCTCCCCTCTGTTCAGCCATTCTTTTGAGTGTGATGTTAGGCGGTTCTTATTGAAATCTCCACCACCGTCCAAGGCTGACGTTCTAAAGCCACCCACGTGAGAGACATAGGATGTTGGAAGAGTCACCAGCCCTCTTCATTAGTCTCCCTTCCAGGTTCTGCAACCTTGTCCCACGTGACACAGAGGGGGAGCCGCTGCTGACCACCTTCCTCACAGCCACCCCTCCCTTCCCCGACTTCTTTGCTGGAGCGCACTTCCCAGTGTGGAAGCTGAAAAGATCAGAAACTCACTCCCCCAGAAGGGAACACTGAGACTGAGTTTGGGAGCTGGGGGATGAGGGGATGGGGGAGGCGGAGGTGTCTGTGTGGTGCCTAGGAATCCAGCTGTGGCCTCCACTCCCTGCAGGCGAATTATTTAAACTCTCCAAGGCCTCAGTTTCTTCTCTAAAACGTGGCTGACCACACTTACCACAGGCGTGTTTTGAAAAGAAATTGGATCAAGCATATAAGCACCCAGCGTAGAGCTGGACACAGAGAAGGTACATAATACATGGATGTTATTATTTTTATTACTGTTACTGAAATGGGGCTGCTACTCACTGAGTTTTATTTCGTTTTAAGGTGTGAGGTTCATGCATGGTTTAGGCAAAGGGGCATTAACATCATCATCATGAAAGTATAGAATGCCACCCTAAAAACGGCAACAAGCAAGCAGTCCTCCTGTGTGTGCAGAGTCATTATTCACTGCCTTCATTTGCTGGGGTCAGGGCAGAACATCACCCCAACCACAGGGGCCAGCATTTCTCAGGAAAGGAAGCCCCTTCCCTTGGTAACAATGATTAGATACATTAATTGTTTGGTCATTTCAAGAAGCTTACAGCCACTGCAAAAGCCTAAGACATAGGGTGAAACTTTTAAATTTCACAGGGTCAGCCTGATGGTTAACAGGTTGGAATAACGGCTTTAATGAAGGAACAAAGTTGGAAGGCTCTTGAGATGTGACTGGTTGGGTATTTAAATTTTTTAAAATTTATTTTTCAATGACAGTCGACATACAATATTATATTCGTTTCAGGTGTACAACATAGCGGTTAGACATCTATATGCCTTATGAAGTGATCCCCAGGAAGTCTGGCACCCACCTGACAAGCTGAGTATTCATCAAAGCAAAGGGTCTCAGACTTGGGCATGTTTGGAACCATCTGGACTGTGTGATAAGCAGGCAGTTGTATCAAACATCTCAACACACCCAAGGCAGGCCTGTTCTCTCATGGTGTTGCATGTGCCATTCTCGTCGGCAGCCCCCAGCCCTCCTTTAGGTGAGAGACCGAAACTCAGATGTGGCTCCATCTGAATGAGCTTGTGTGACTCCTGGAGGGACTCACTGAGTCGTATATATGCCTGAAACCAAAAGTAAAACTAGCTTAGACCAAAGGGAATTGCTGGACCTTAACGGTGGAGGAGACAGCTTTCATACAGAGTGAAGGAGGAGGGACAGAAAACAGCAGACAGGGACTGCGACCCCTGGACATAGCTGGAGGTTTTCTCTCCACCCCGCCCCCCCCCCCCATTTCTCCAGAACTCCTTGTATATACCTCTGTTATATTTCCACTACATATGCTGGACTTTGCTTCCATGTTCCCCTCCCCCACCCCTCATCAAAGATCGAGGACTTCCTGCGTTCAGAAGCAATACCATACCTTCTTTGGTGTCCCCAGGACCCAGCAACACAGGGCTTGGCCTCTTGATGGGAATTCCGTAATTGTGGAGTGAATAACAAGTAGATGCTTAAGACAAGAAAGGGCCAGAATAAAGAAGTAAATTTCATTTCTTCTGCCACTTGGAGATCCAACATCAAATAGTGTGGAGTATATTGACAAAAACCTTCCAGGATAGAGAAAAAAAAAAGTTTACTTCTCATTCTACCCAGAATTCCCTTCAACAAATGCAACCAAACACCTGGGAACTGGAGACCTGCCACTGCATCATCCGTTTGATGTCAGAGTGGAAACCCCAGACCGAGTCCTCCACCTGCAGTTATCCAGGTGGAGCACAGACAAGTTAATAGCAACAGCTCGTCCTGGTGCCGACACTGACCCCGGAACCCAGAGAGAGGCATCCCTCCCTTTAGTCCTCTGTGGCAGGACAGATGGCACTTACAACCCAACCTAGCACCTGGGAGGTGTTTCACACGCTTCCAATTAAGGCGCGTTTCCTCCACCGTGTCCATCACTCCCACCTGCAGGACAAACAGGAGCCTCACCAGGAGCGCCTTCCATCTGATCACTCCCTGTCCACGGGGGCATCTCGCTACAGTTCAACAAGGTTTCAGAGGAAGAACGTGGGAGTTGCACCTGAGCTGGAAACTTCCTGCGACGCTCATGGAGATCCCCGCAAATACAGGGTGCCCCCCTGAAAATATGTATGCACACTCTGAATAATTATAAAGGCAGTGTTTATTAAAATACATTTCATTTGCAAAATTGAGCCATCAGCTGTTACAGTATGTATACATATTTTGGGACACTTCTTTTGTTGTTAATCCTCACTCGAGGATCTATCTTTCTTTCTTTCTTTCTTTCTTTCTTTCTTTCTTTCTTTCTTTCTTTCTTTCTTTCTTTCTTTCAATATATTTTATTGATTTTCTACAGAGAGGAAGGAAGAGGAATAGAGAGTTGGAAACATCGATGAGTGAGAAACATCGATCAGCTGCCTCCTGCACACCCCCTACTGGGGATGTGCCCACAACCAAGGTACATGCCCTTGACCGGAATCGAACCTGGGACCCTTGAGTCTGCAGGCTGACGCTCTATCCACTGAACCAAACCGGTTAGGGCTCTTTTTTTTATTTTTTTTTTTGGAGAGAGAGTGGAAAGGAGACAGGGAGAGAGGAAGAGAGAGAGAGAGAGAGAGAGACATCAATGGGAGAAAAACACATCGATCAGTTGCCTCTTGCACTCGCCCCAATAGGGGCCCAGGAATTGAACCTGCAAACTTTCAGTGCAGGGACTGATGCTCTAACTCAGCGGTTCTCAACCTGTGGGTCATGACCCCTTTGGGGGTCGAACGACCCTTTCACAGGGGTTGCCTAAGACCATCGGAAAACACATATATAATTACATATTGTTTTTGTGATTAATCACTATGCTTTAATTATGTTCAATTTGTAACAATGAAATTGGGGGTCACCACAAGATGAGGAACTGTATTAAAGGATCACGGCATTAGGAAGGTTGAGAACCACTGCTCTAACTACTAAGCACACTGGCCACGGGCCCAGCAAATATTCTTATTTTTTCATACCATTGACAGTTGCTGTGAACCTATTAGGTCCCTTCAGGCTCTACCCTTGAGGAACTCAGTCTAGTGGGGCAGATAGATGAGTAAACAGCTAATTACAGTTCATTGTGAAAGTGCTGGAAGTGGAGACACTGAGGCACTGATGAGCAGAGGGGGAAAAGCTCACTAATTTTTGAGAAGAAGCTGGGTGTGTCAGTCCACATTTACATAAAAATAGAATCTCACAATTTTATAGGGCGATACGGTTTTCAAAGCATTTTCACAGTTATCTGATTTTATCCCCCCACTGCCTTTATGTAGAAATTACTCTTCTTTTTTACAGTTTAAGGGATTAAGGCTGTTAGGTTAAGAGATTTGCTCAAAGTGACCCAGAAATGGAAGAGCAGAACTCCAAACGAGGTTTTTGGATTCCAGAGTTTATTTTGAACTTATTCTCCATGGACCAGGGTTCTTACCTGCGAGCAAAACTTAATAAAATAGCAAAAACAAAAAATACCCCTGGTGAAGGCACCGAGCAGCCTTCTCTGGGCGTCACATACCGGAGCTTACACACCTGAAACCACCAACAGGCCTGTGATGTCTCTTGGACGGCTGCCCTGGAGGCTTCTAGAAGCTCCATGGAATTGCCCCACCCACTGGTGGGTCGATTTTCACGATTCTCAGATCCTTAACTTCTGGTGAAGTCTGAAGCCACTGCACTGATTGGCAGAGTCTCCATCGGGTCCCCTAAATCCAGGGAAGGCCGGGAGAGGCAAGTGGCCGCTGTTTTTAGTTTCTTTTGAGGAAGTTGGACTCAAATTGACAAACTTGGTGATTACCAAGCATGAGACGGAGGTTTGGAAGCCAGGTGGCAACACTTTACATTCCCTTTACCCTTACCTGTCAGTCGCACAGCTGTCCCTGCTTTAAAAATAACGTTTATTCTGATTGGCTGTCTCCAGTAAAAATAACATTTATCCTGATTGGCTCCGTTTCTAGCTCCCAAAGCCCCGTGGAACCCAGCCCGGACATTGGAACGGCCCCTAAGCTCCTTCCACATCGTGTGGCTTCCTCATCGCAGTCATTCCAGAAACAGCTGCTTAATGATTGATCCAACCCATCCATTTAGGTGTGTGGTTCAGCCCTCTTCCCTGGACCACTGGGGCCAGGGAAATGACTGTCACTTCTGACCACTGACTGGGGGAGGAACAGAGTCCTCACTCGTCGGTGAAATGAGAAATGTCTCCCTCTGCCCACAGGACGTGGAGCTGACTCGGCTGTGACGAGGGTTTGCGTGAGGACTCTGGTCAGTGACTCTCAAAGGGTGGGCTCCTGGACAGCAGCAGCACCCCGAAACCTGTTAGACGGGGAAATACATGGCCCCCGCCCAGAACTGCTGAATCAGAAACGCTGGTGTTGGAGGGCAGCACCGATGTGGAAACAAGCCTTCCAGGTGACTCGGATCATGCTAAAGCTCAGGACCACTGCTTTAGACCCGGGAGCAGCTTCCGACGTGGGTACCAAGCTTTTGTTCCTTCGTGGACTCGAGCATCTGTCTGTTTTCCTCCTCGGAGGAACTTCATTCGAAGCAGTAGGCCTATCCCAGATCATCCTTTTAGGTAAGTCTGCTCTTAAAAAGATAAGCTTCAAAGAAGCCTATGATAGGTGGGTACTTCAACAGTAATTATGACTAACCCTTGCACTACTTCAGATCCGTGATCTCTTTCTGCCCACACTGTAGCCCTGGGAAGGAAGTTGTTTTCAAGATGAGGAAAAAGACTCAGGAAAGTTCATTCACAGCCCCAGGTCACATGTCTAGGAGTGGCAGAGCTAGTGGCCTCAGGACTATGCCAGGGATATGGGCATAATTGGGGACAATCTAGGAGGACTTCTCCCACCATTGACTTGTAATTAATGTATTACAAACACCTCAGCTGATCACCTCTCTCTGCTAAAGAAATGGGTCTCTTTGACTTGGGGAAATTCTCAGGAATGGTTCTTCCTTAAGGAGCCTCTCTTTATAAATACAGTTTCACACACACCTCCCATCAGCTCCATGGCTCTGTAACAAAGACGACACGACAGATGAGTGTGTGAGCTAAGCGGTCCACCCAAGAGAGAAAGGCACAGAGCATGGCCGGGGGTCGCTCAAGCAGCTACCAAACCAGCCTCTCAGGTTTAGACACAAATGGAACCATTAACCTTTATGGGTTCTTGTGAAATGAGAGGCTATTTTTAAGATACTCCTAAGCCCTCTCTTTACTTTTATCCCAGTATTTCTGATCCCATCTAAATTTCCCCTCCCACCCAATCCCATCTCATTTTTGCTCTTTTACTAATCTCACCTGGATCTAAGGACTGTTCTTCAACTACATTCAGCCCCCCACCCCCACCCCGCCCTTCTCTCCCTCTTCCTCTCTCTCCTCTCTTACCCAGGATAAATTCACTGCTCCTGACTATTGATTGCTCCTGAACTAAGATGGCTCCCAAATGAAAGTGCTTAACCATGCTCTGAAGAAGCTTCATTTCAGATCTATGCATTCACCTGCAAGCAGGGCTCTCAAGCCTTCCTGCCAAGGCCTCCTCCTTCCCTTGCTCTGTTCCCACACGTTGTTCCTTTCCTCTGGCTCCCTCCTTCTCCAGATCCCACTCATCATCAACAGATGGTCTTGTATCCTAGGTCACAGAAAATAATGGCCACTAAACCGGAACTTCCTCAACTCCCTGCCTCTCTACGACCTAACTGGTCTAAATCTTTACCATTGATACAGACTGAATGTGTCTCCCCAGCATTCACAGGTTGAACCCCAGCGAGGTTGTATTTAGAGATAGGGCATACAAGGAAGTGATTGCAGTTAAATGAGCTCATAGGGTAGGGCACTGATGCATTGGGATTTGTGTCTGGTCTCCCTCTGGGCCCGGACACACTGAGGAAAGGCCATGTGAGGACACAGTGAGAAGTGAGCCTCTGCCAGCCAGGAAGAAAGCTCTCCACAGTCTTCTACTAGTGCCTTCTTTCCCTTAAGTCAGAACTGCATTGCAGGGCAGAGGCTGGGGGGTCGGGCTGGGTTGGAAGGTTGATGCATGAGCCTGGAATTGGCACAGAGGGAGTAAGGTGAATTGAATATTTAATGGCATTAATTAAGATGTCTGATGAATTCATTTTATAATTTGGAGGGCCTGCCCTGAAGACTTGAAGTCTGTAAGCTACAACCTCCTTTTAGTTGACTACAGTTGTATAGCAAAGCACCACCAAACTTAGTGGGATTAAAACAGAAAACATAGAGATTCATATAATTCTTCATAATGTGCTGCACTCAACTGGGCAATTCATTCCACTGGTCTGACTGGAGGCCACTCATGTGGCTGCTTGTGTTGGTGGGCCCGTGGGGGCTGGGCTCAGTTGGGATTCTGGGATGGCCGTGCCTCCTCTCTTTCCATATAGTAATCTCAAGATCTCTCTTTCCACATGGCTTGTCCGTAGGTTTTCCCCACAATGGTTCCAGACTCCTAACATGGGGCTCAGAACTCCTAAAAGCACAAAAGTTGAAGCAAACAGGTCTTCTTAAGGCTTATGCCCTTTTAGGCTTAGTCCTCTGTAGTCTGTTGGTTAAAGCATGTCACAGGGACTAAACAGAGTGTGGTTCCTTGAGGGCTACGGCGGTCACAGAATACTACAGATGTTTGGCATCTATCAATCAACACAGGGGGGAGGGACTTGCCAATAGAACTGTCCACATCAGCTTCTGAGACTCTTTCTCTTTATAACCCTTAACATTTCTAACTCCATCTTGTGGGTCATATATCTATTGAGATGTAACAGAGCCCTACTCTTGTTGGTGCTGCTCTCTCTTTCAGGTGACTTTGCATATTTTTTTAGAGTTCTCGCCCTTCTTGTGGCTTAGCCTCCCATGTCTGGGTTTCATAACCAGAACAGATTTGAGCTCTACCTCTTTTCAGTGGTATTTAGAAGGCTACAGGTATCTGGCAAACAAGGATAAGATTTTGTGTTAACCCAGGCCTTTTCCATATCCCACACACACACATGCCTCCACCTTTATACTAGACCCTGGGAACCTTCTGTCTTTCCGGCCACAGTTAGGGCACTCTAAGCTCTTTGCCTCAAGGAAGGCAGGCCACAGCCAAACAAAAGAGAACAAAGGCATGAATTCTCAATCTTGAGTTTCAAAAGAGCCTCTTAAAGTCCTGGCAAAAAACAAACAAACAAACAAAAACACACAAAAACCCAGGTTGATAGAAAAAAGTTTTTGTTTCAAAAGCATGGCTTTTCCTGTGCCAGAAACCAGGTGCCATGCTGTTTACAGCAGGCTTGGGTAGATTGCAGGATGATATATTAAAAATACTTGAAATATAAAGAAATATACAAAGTTTAAAAATATATTAAAAGAGTTTTAAATGGTTGGTCTAGTTCTGCTGATCCTGAGGAGACTCCAGGGGCTGAGCTGGGGGGCTGATGGGAGAGGGTCCCAGGGAAGCAAGAGTTGCAGTGAGTGTTCCTCAGAAGGGACCCTGAACGTGGCTCAGCTTCACAAATGTTGCAGGTTGGGTGCTCCACGAGTAAACGGTGAGATGAAGTTTGGGTGCAAAATGCTGATGAAGAATTAACACCTAAGAAAGGAAGGGAAAGAAAGCAGGATTGGCTGAGGGAGGAGATGGATCGGGATGCAAGCCTGACAGAGCCTGGGCCAGTAGGACACTGGAGTAAATATTACCACCAGAGTTGTCCTGTGTTGGTTGGAATGGCTAGACATTTACCTAACTCAGTTATCAGATACACGCAGCTCTGGGAAGGGCAAGGTGACTTTCTGCATCTGGGAGGAGCTGACAGCTTGGAGACCATCTGCCGACTGCACTTGCTCCCGGCAGCTGGGCACAAGGCCTTCTGTGAAGAGGGATCTGGGTAGCTCTGTGGCTCCGTGTCTACCACACTAATCCTCTCCGCCCCGGTAAGCTTAATCCTGGGCCAGGAGATGACAGAGCACGTGGATAGGTTTGGAAAGCCTGCAGAAAGGACCTGTACAGAACTTTCCAAGTGCGACCCAAGAGAGGCAGCACGGTGGGCTAGAGAGGAAATGGCAGCAGGGTCCATGGAGAGTCCATGATAGACTGTTCTGTTGTGCGTGACCCCAGACTGTCATGGAAGAGTATCTGGAACCCTCCTGTGTCCAGCAATGGTTGATAGAGGGTCCAGCAATGGTTGACAGAGGGTCAGGCATGGATCATTTGGATCAATTGACACCTGGAATTGATGGTGGGGTGGGGGTCCATCTTACCTGGTAAAAGTGGAGTTAACCAAAGACCAAAAAAAACAAAGTTCTTAGATTTTAGCAAGGACAGATGATAGCTGTAAACCAGTTCCTATAAAGGCCTTCCCCACCCCCACTACCTCCATCAGTTTAGATCAGGGGTCCCCAAACTTTTTAAACAGGGGGCCAGTTCACTGTCCCTCAGACCGTTGGAGGGCCAGACTATAGTTTAAAAAAAAACTATGAACAAATTCCTATGCACACTGCACATATCTTATTTTGAAGTAAAAAAACAAAACGGGAACAAATACAATATTTGTATTTGCATGTGGCCCGCGGGCCATCGTTTGAGGACCCCTGGTTTAGATAAATCTCAGGTGGTGAGCAGAAGGAAGGCATAGAGAAAATCCACATTGGCTGAGTTTAAACTTGAGGAGACAGAAAACAAACCTGAAGTGATTGAGTGTATCCAGAATTAAATAGATTGAATTTTCTGTCACCAGACAACATGATGGTTCCAGACAAATACAAAGTTTAATTATGAGAAAAAATATTTTTAAAGTTATACCTTTGGTTCACTTGAGTCATAGATTGGAAATTCATGGTATCCTATATAATAAAAGGGTAATATGCAAATAGACCAAACAGCAGAACAACTGAACAACCAACCAAAGCATAATATGCTAATGATATGCTAAGGCTGCTCAACTTCTGGCTATGACGTGCACTGACCACCAGGGGGCAAACAGTCACTGGTTGACCAGTCCCTATGATGTGCACTGACCACCAGGGGGCAGATGCTCCAACCGGTAGGTTAGCTTGCTGCTGGGGTCTGGCCAATCGGGACTGAGTGAGATGGGCTGGACATACCCTGGAGCCCTCCCACAGTCCCTCCGCGGCCTGATCATCGTGCACCAGTGGGGTCCCTCAGCCTGGCCTGTGCCCTCTCGCAATCCGGGACCCTTCAGGGGATGTTGGAGAGCTGGTTTCAGCCCGATCCCGCAGGCCACTCCCCTTGGGAGGGTGCCAGATGCAGGGCTCATGGCTGGTGAGCACTGCTGCGGCAGCGCAAGACTCTCCCAATCAGAACTGAATGGGCTCAAGCCCGCAGCAGGCATAGTGGGGCTGGGATGAGCAGGAGCAGCAGATAGGAGCTGCAGGTGGCGTTGGACTGCGGGTTTCGGCCTGATCCCTGCAGGCCACCCAGAGGGACCCCACCCGTGCATGAGTTCGTGCACTGGGCCTCTAGTGAAATAATAAAAGAAGTAATCATCACTTCATTCAGTAGAGGTAGAAAGGTAAACCAATGAAGAGTTCCAAGCTTGCTCTTGGTCAACTGGGGTACTATCTTA